AGTGGTCCCCATCGCTCAATCGAGAAGAGCCGGTGGCGGACGGTGACGACTCAGTCGGTCGCCGTACAGTGACTCGCAGTACTCTTCGAGCATTGAAGTACAAAGTTTATTGTCATCGGCACTCCGCCGTGCATTTCTCCGAGGTCGCCTACCGCTGTGCAGAAGACCTTGAGAATCTGGAGCAATTTGTGCACCGACTGCCTCGCGTTGACAATCACCGTGCTTGGTCGAAGCATCTTCCAGCCGTCAAGCAGACGGCTACGTCACTTCGTGCGACTGTGGAGCGCTATGCGCTGTTGGAAACGGAAATTGTTGGACTTCGTGCTCAGAACCAGTTGCTGCCTTAACTTCTGGGTGACCGAGCGCCTTTGGGCGTCACCCCGGCGCCAACACTTCCACGTTCACTTGCGCTGCATTCCGCAAACGCTTTGCTCCCTAGAGCCTGTAGCAGCGCTACACACATACTGTCACCCGCGTATGCGGCGCGGATCAAATCCGTCACTGACAACGTCACCGTCGTGATATGAGCAATCTCATAATTCGGTCTGTGCGATAGCGCATCAGCCAAGACATTCTGCTTTCCTGGCATATATTTCACCTTAAAGTTATATTCTGCAATGAATGAGAGCCACCTGGCAATCCTCTGCAAGAGGTGAGGTGACAGAGTTGCAGTGCGTAGTGACGCATCATCTATGTAGATTACAAACGGCTTAATGCCAAGCAGGTGCACCCTGAAGTTGACAAGTGCAGACTTCATCGCAAGTAATTTCTTGTCGTGGACTGAAAGGTTCTTCACTGCAGCCTTAAGCAGACGAAATGCGAACGCGATCACCCGGTCTCGTCCCTCGGCGTCTGCTTGCAGCAGTGCACAGACGATGGCAAAGTCCGAAGTGTACTTAAAGGAGGATCGGGGTCTGGCAACGCCAGTATTGGTGCATGAAGGAGGCTGTCTTCGACCCTGTCAAAAGCCTCCCGACGCTCGGTGTCCCTACACCATTCCTTATCCTTCTTTAGGAGATTGCACAATGGCCGTACCATTTCCGCATAACTCGCGCAAGTTTGTTTAGTTCTTTGATACCGGATAGTCCATTATGGCCTTGACCTTAGCTGGATCTGCTCGAAGGCCGCGCTTACCAATGAAGCACACTAAAGATATTTCTTCTGCGCCAAAGATGCACTTATCGGCATAGCATGCAGCTTATTCGTGTGCGCATGCACTCGGGCACCGCTTTTAAACAGACAATGTGGTTTTCCGGTCCTCCCGTGCCCCGCACGATTGTGGACGAAGATGTCGTTAAAGTGTGTATGTGCATACGCCCGATGGGGTCAAAACAATTGCGTCACAAGACGATTTGATGTTGCTGATGCATTTGACAGCCCTTGGGACATCGCCATCCACTCCCAGAGCATCCCGCTCGTAGTACTCACCGCTGTCGGCGGAATATCATTCGCTCTCATGAGCAATTGGTAAAAATCACTGCGCTGTACTTTGTACAACTAACCATATTGTCCCGAAGAACATCCTTTCTAGGAAATGGCGTTTGTGCCGGAATGGTGGCAGCATTTGGCTTATTGTAAGCGTGACCGATACGCCACTTGTCGTTCGGCTTCCGGGCACAAAACGTGGGTGTCAGATAGGGGGATGAGCTCTCACGCACCATCCCTGCCACGTACTTCGCATGGAAATAGGCGTCAATGACGTCACACTGCTCCTTGGGCAGGGGCCATTGGCGTGTTACGTAGTATTTGGTTCCCGGACCAGGACGATCTCATGAAGCACACCTCGGTCCGGAAGTAAAATCGACGGCGGGGCTTTGGAGACGACGTCTCAAATTCCTCTACCAAAGGGTAATACGGATCCGAAGGATAATTCAGGGTCGACAATCCACTCCGTGCTTTCAGCACCTTCTTAGTGTCCTCCAGGATAGCTTTATCCAGAAGCGACGACGAGTTAATCTCATCGTTTCGTTCTATAATGACCACTTGCCTGCCTTCAAGGCATTGCCAAAGTCTTTGAAAGGCATCTTGTCCAGCTCAAGAAGAGCATCTAACGCGGGAATAGCACGTCGCTGTCTTCCTCTCCCATCATACCCTTGACAAGGGTATACAGCTGTGCGCTATCGTCTACGGTAGACAGACCCTGGGTTAGGGTCGACGTCCTGCGTCTTGCAAATATCATACGACTTCGCCGTCTCTTCTCTATAGAGGTTGTTCTTCTCATCGAGACCAGTGGAGAACGCACTCGGCGTCGTACACTGTCCCCACTATCTGTCCCATCGCAGCCTTGATGTTAGTAACAACATCCGACGAAGAGCTGCTATATCAGAAGTCTTTGTCCAGTCCGTAACGTGCCACTCCAGGAGGGCCTTGCCCAAGGTTGTCTTGGACCTCAGCCGACCATGCCAAACTTGGCATGCAGCAACTGCTTCGAAACGTGAGCAGAGCTCAGTAGATTACGTGCCACTCCACGCGCATCAGAAGAGTCTTACCCTTGATGTCTCGGACCTCGTCCGACCATGCACACAGTAACTGCTTCGTAACGTGAGTAGTGCTCAGTGGTTTACGTGCCACTCCTCGTGCATCTCAAGGGTCTCGCCCTTGATGCATCGGCCCTTGGTCGACCATGCCGCTCTCGGATACAGCGACTGCTCCAATACTTGAGCAGCGCTGAGTGGAATACGTGCCACTCCACATTCAGCCCGCGAGCCACGCTCGGGACCCTTGTCTAATACAGCTTCGGCGGATACTCCGATATCCAACACATCGATTGCTCCGGTCCAGTGCACGCGCCAATAGCGCTTCTGCTTCCCAGCAGAGGTGGTTTATGATTCACCAAAGCTCCGTGTCATGTTCCTTGATTTCGATAGCGTGGAATGATGTCCTGTCTTAGACTTGGATGCAAGGTTTGACTATATCCTAGGTATGGCATGTTTGGAACACCACGAGCCATGGATTGATTGGAGGTTGAAGACCTTGGGCGGTATGCGCATGTCTCCTAGTCGAGGTCCACAGGGACCCTCGGCACAGTGACACAAGTCCCTGTCGCCAAGCGAACAGTGACGGTGTCACTCAATTGCGCTTCCAGCGCATCAGCATACAGCTGACTTCCTGCGATCGTGGAGCCTCGAGCATAATTGCCCGACGCACTAAAATCGATAAGAGTTTTACGTGGGCTCTCAAAGCCCTTCACGGTCGCTTTTACGACCAACAAGCCCGTGTCGCACACACGTTCCATGTTTAAGTGCACGGGGATTTTTGGGCTGGACCCTGCTGCCCTCTACCCCTTTGAGGCTCAACAAAACTCAGCTCTCCACCAGTATGGCGCCCCACGTCAAACTAGACTGGTTTGACGCGGGATGTTCGCTTGACGAACCTTTACGCACCTCGCACAAGGGACAACCCGCCCGAAGGTGACGGGTGTCTCCACAAACAGAACACTGTCGGGTGTCTAAGCGCTGCTCAGCAGCTCGTAGCTCTACGTCTTTCTTCTCAACATTTGCTGAGATCCATTGGCTCAGGCCCGCTTGACAAGCTCTGAGGGAGTGGATTCTAACCAAGTCGCGCCGACTTGAAGTTGAATTTGGCAATCAATGCCACGTTCACCGCTTCTTCAAAGAAGACGGATGCCTACGGAGGTCTTCCATTCCGGCCACGCTAGTGCGGAGGCCTTCCATAAAGATGGTCGCTACGACCGCCTCGAGGAGAGGATCTGTTGCCATCCCGGCAATGAGAGCTTACAAATCCTGGACAAAGTCCACCAACTCCCTTTTGCCCCATCGGGCAGCAAGAAAACGCCGTCTCATGCGATATGTCTTATTAGACGACGGAAACACTCGCAGCAGCTGATGCTTCAGCTTCTTCCAGGAGAGGAACGCAGGTTCCACCGAAGCACCGCACTTTTAGTGCCCATTCTTGCGCTCGACCCCCGAGCTTGAGAATAGCTAGCGCCACAGGCTGTTCTTCGTTTTGGAGCATAACGGATGCCATAGCCATCTCGGCCTCTCTTATCCAGAGCACAAGATTCTATCCATTCTTATTCTTACAGGTCTCAACGCTCACCATGAGCAGCCTAGGTCAGACGAAATCATCAGTCGTCGACGGTGGCGTCATAGACGAAGTCGACACTGACAGCTCTTGCTGTAAGTGCTCTAACAGAGCATTTTCATAACCCGAAAACATCTCTAGGCGCGCTTATGGCACGCCCTCAGGGCCCAGCAAGGATATCTGCTCATTAAGGCCTTACTGCATGCCCTAGAACAAATAGGAATATATATCTATCCTCACAAAAGACTAGTCGTGACGACTCAGGCGTAGATTGACTACGAGTGCTACTAAGTGCAGCGGGGCTGCCGTAACTCTTTGCTTAGAGAAAGCGAAGCGAATGTCACCGACCCTACGCTCTTACCAAGAACCAGTACGAGTGTTGCTTGTCGCAATTCGCTAACTCTAAATACTAAAGCCTTAACCAAGGCAAACAAGCACTTCTGTTCAGAATTAAAACTGTATTTCTACTGGCGATCCTGCCACGTGGCGGCTTTTTGTTACGGTGTAGTCACACCACTGTGTTATTCCAGTAACTGTGTAATACACACCTGTGTACGGTCGCACAAGTTTGTGCACCCCCCCCCTTTTTATAAAGGGCAAGTGTAACACTGTTACCCACGGAGCTAAACGAAAGCATGCTTCACTACCAGAAGCTCTTTGTCATGAA